TTTTTTTTTTTTTTTTTTTTTTTTTTTTTTTTTTGGTATGGGAGCTCAAACTCGAGACCTTGCATTTGCAAGGCAGGCAGAAACACTGAACTAAATCCCCGGCCCTGTTTACAGAATTTTTTTTTGGTACTGGGGATTGAACTTGGATCCTTGTGCTTGTAAGGCAGGCGGTGGAACCACTGAGCTAAATCCCCTGTTTACAGAATCTTAATTCATAAGAGTGAGCAACTGGGAGCAACCCAAATGCCCATCAACAGAATGGAGTGATACACTGTGGTATATTCATACAGAGGAATACTGCACTGCAGTAGGTAACCAACTCCTGATACATACAACTTGTATGAATCTCAGAAACGTGACACTGAACAAAAACAGCCAGTTATGAAAAAAAATTGCATTATTTCACTTATATGAACCTTAACACAAGAAAAACTAGCATTTGTTGATACAAAGTAGAACAGTAGTTGTTTGAGGCTAGAGCAGTAGAAACACCATCTGCAAGTATGAGCAGTTTTTTTTGTTTGTTTGGTTTTTTTTAGTAGCAGGGATCAAACTTGGGTCCTTGTGCTTGCAAGGCAGGCGGCGGAACAGCAGTTTTTTTGTTTGTTTGTTTGTTTGTTTTGTTTTGGTACCAGGAATCCAACTTGGGTCCTTGCACTTTCCAGGCAGGCAGCAGAACCACTGAGCTAAATCCCTGGCTATGAGCATTTTTCTCCAGGGTTGGGGTCCAGGGCCCAGTACAAGCTCCTAAAGTCTCTCTCCGGGAGCCACACCCCAGCCCAGCAGAGTTTCTTCATTTAGTTAGTGAGTTAGCTAGCTGGTTTTTGCAGTCCTGGAAATTGAATCCAGGTCCTTTGCACCAATCCCTTTGTGCCCAATCCTTTTTAAAAATTTTGGAACAGGGTCTTGCTAACTCCCCCAGGTGGGACTCAAGCTTATGAACTCCTGTCTTAGCTCCCCGAGTGCTGGAATTACAGGTGTGGGTCACCATGTCCAGTGACAGCCTCTTTTTCATTGCTGTGTTTAGTTCATTTACAATTAGTATAATGATTGATAAATTTTTCTTTTTTGATGCCTTGCAAACGCCAGGTCCCAAGTTCAATCCCCAGCACAAAAAATAAATAAATAAATAAATAATTTTTCTTTTTTGATTTTTTGAGACATAGGCTTACCAGGTAGTGCAGGCTGGCCTTGAACTCTCTCTCTGGAACCCAGGCTGGCTTTGAACTTGTAACCATCCTCCTGCCTCAGCCACCTGAGTGCTGGGGTTACAGATGTGCACCAGCACACCTGCCAAGATTGATAAATTTGGATTCACTGTTTTCTGTTTGTTTCATCTACTGATAGAACAAATACACAAAAATGCAGCAAAGATATAGACAAATTGAACAATACTATCAACCATTTGACCAAACTGACATCTATCATCTATGTATCTTTCATCTATTATCTATTATCTACCATTTACCTATCTATCATCCATGTATCTATTTTAGTGCTTGGGATAGAATTCAAGGTCTTACCCTTATTGGGCAAGTGAGCTTTAATCTCTAGCTGAATTATTTTGAGACAGGGTCCCACTACATTGTCCCCGCTGGCCTTGAATTTGCAATCCTCCTGCCTCAGTCCCTAAGGAGCTGGAATAGTAGGCATGCACTGCTACACCTGGCAAAAGAGGAAATTTTTAAAAATCAAAAAGAAATGGCAGGGTGTGGTGGCACACGCCTGTAATCCCAGCACTTGGGAGGCTGAGGCAGGAGGATCACTGTGAGTTTGAGACCAGCCTGGGCTACACAGTGAGTTCCAGGTCAGTCTCAACTACATAGTGAGACTCTGTCTCAAAAAAAAAAAAAAAAAAAAAAAAATTAAACTGGGCTGGGGATTTACCTCAGTGGTTCCACTGCCTGCCTTGCAAAGTACAAGGACCAGAGTTCAATCCCCGGTACCAAAAAAAAAAAAAAAAAAAAAAAAGAAAGAAAGAAACAAAGCTGCAAAGCTGAAAATGTTGTTCAGTTGTAGAGTGCTTGCCTAGCATGTGTGAGATTCTAGGTTTGATCCCCAGCACTGGAAAAAAAAAAAGTGAATATAGAGAAAATAAAAGTATTAGTAGCAAATACTGAAAACAGGCAAAGAAGATTACAAATATAGAGAGATAATGAGTCCCTGAGAAAGAAAAGCAAAGCAAGAGAGAACAAAATACTAATTCAAGGGGCTGGGGTGTAGCTCAGTCATGGCAGATTGCTTGTCTAGCATGTGTGAAGCTTTGGGTTTGATTTCCAGCAGCATAAAAATAAGTAAATAAATATTCAAGAATTTTTTATTTCCTGAAATAAAAAATATTTGAAATATTCAAACAGCATGCTCCAAAGCTGTGAATATGATCCCAAAATTAGCCTCACAAAGACATATTCTGATAAAATTTGATCTTTAAAGAAAAATGATCCACCTAGGAGTTTAACTCTGTGTGTGTTCCACAACTTACCTTGCAAGTACAAGGTCCCAAGTTCGATCCCCAGTACCAAAAAAAAAAAAAAAAAAAAAAAAAAAAAAAAGAGGAAGAAGAAGAAGAAAGAAAAGAAAAATGATCCTGGGCTGAGGATGTAGCTTGGCCATGGAATGCTTGCTTAGCATGCATCCTGGTTCAAAAAAAAAAAGAAAAAAAGAAAAGAAAAGAAAGAAAGGAAAGAGGAGGAAGAAGACAGAAGAGAAAAGTAGGAGGAGAAAGGAAGAGAAGAAAAAAAAAAGAAAAAACTCACAATCACAGATCCAACTAGATTCATATGTCTCTTTATAGTCTTGCCAAAATGGTCAACTGTGAGTGTAATCCAGCCTCTGCATCCAGCTATTTGCAGGAAATAGGAACATTTAGAACTGCATCACGCAGAAGGCCCTGTATCCAATCCCCAGCATTGGATACAGGCGTCATGAATTGGTAACCAGCAAAATCCAGTCTGAGATATTACAGACCTATCAAAAAAAAAAAACAAAAACCAAAAAACCCAAAAACCAAACAACGACAACAACAAAAATAACTGAACACCATTAATAGCTGAGACATCAACTCAATACTTGAGAATTGGTAAGGAGGGGAAGAGATTGAAACATTTCTGATATCAACTTTATTTCAGGGTAATCAAATGGTCCTAGAGGAGAGGAAAAAAGGTTTTTCTGGACAGACTTAGAGCTCATAATGAAGAAATAATTGTGTTATTAAGTCACAGTTTCATAATCCCTAGCAGAGTAACCAACTGATAAAATGGGCAGTGAACAGTGAAACAGCTTGGTGTGGAGGAAGCAGGGACTTCACAAGGCAGGGACTGGAGTGTCATCACCTGGAACATGAAGGAGACGGGGCGGGGTGGGTGTCAGGCCAGGAGCACCTGCACTGTTAAGAATCAAGTGAAAAATAAATCTTTATTGGGTTAAATCATTGGAATGTGGGAGCAATTCATTACAGAAGGTAGTTTACTGTCAAAGCATACCACTGATATAAAAGCATAGAATTACATATAAAGGTACATCCACTGCAAACACACAGTACTGACACAGCTGAGGGTACACCTACGGCAGGGAGAGGTATGAGAACAGGGATCAGGGACCAAAAGCGGGCAAACAAGAAAAGCGTCTAGTAGCAAGTGGTGATGAGGATAATCCGCCATGCACAGAGAGGCACGGTTTCACTACGGAATACGTGCAAAGCCCTGGGTTCAATCCTGAACACAACAAACAGACTCCCCCAAAGCAAAACAAAACTATTAAGGAATAAAAATCATTGAAAAATAGACAACTGAAACCCCCCAGCTACTTAACTGGGAGTGTAATTATCTCCTGCCTGCAAAACAACACAGAAAGGCTCTGAGAGCGGACAGGGTTGAGGACAGAGCCTGCCACCGTGGTTCTTTGGTCACCAGGAAGGTCACAGGCCTATGAAGGTCCCTAAACTGTGTCTGATGTTGACAGCAAAGGAGCCACTTGCTATTCTCCCCTCAGTGTCACCCCTCACTCCAGGCTGCGAGGGCAGATGAAGCACTGAGGTGTGTTCTGGGCCGGGCTGCGTCCTGCTGCCCTGCATCCTAGTCTGTGGCTGGCTGGGTTTCCTCTAAAGATGTGTGCTGCCTAATATCCAGGATCTATGAATATATAGATCAAGTGGCAAAAAAGGACTTTCAAATGGGATTAAAGATCTTGAGGGCTGGGGATTTAGCTCAGTGGTTCTGGCTCCTGCCTCACAAGCTCAAGGACCCAAGTTTGATGCCCGATACAAAA